CAATTTAGTGATGTCTGCCTTCTTCTTAATAATATTCGTGGGTATCGTTGAGGACTCCTTCTATAGCTTCTACTCAATCCTGGCCTACATTTCCTCTACAAAGGCCTCCATTGCAACGGACACTCCGGTGACTGAGAACCCGCTATTGAATGAAATGGTTAGATGCATATCAGCCGATGTTGTCGTGTTGGTCATCAAGTTATCACTAATCGGTGCAACCGTTATGCAAATGCTTTCCGTTAACTACGAGTCCAGAGCCACACCAATCCATTTGAATGATATGTTCTCGCAGTTTGAACATATTATTCAACCAATTCTTTATCGTTCAGTAAGTCATTTGCAATTGTTTTTGTTGTTTTGCAGTGTAATTAACATGTTGTCTATTTTCAAACAGTTTCGTTTACTACGGTATTACATGTTGTCCCGGTTGGAAAAGACCGATAGGCCTGCGCTCCTCAATATCTCACTACTATCTAGTATACCTATCCTACGGGCAAAGCTAACCGCCCGAACAAACTACTGATATATTAAACTGTTTTTAATTTATTTAATAAATTTTATTTCAGATTATTTGTTTTTATGCTTATTTTTGTATAATATATTTTATATAAATAGTCAAATGGTTATGTTTTGTAAATATAAAGTTTATGAAATTAATTCACAGAATAAATCACAACATGTTTATACTTTATCTGATATTCTACAACAAAAACTATTTTACTAACTTATACTGTATACATAATATATTCCACGTTCATTCATATTTAATCAACGATTAAAGCAATTTCATGCAAAGTGTGTAATAAATTGTCTCAACTTTTGTGACCATTACCAGTATGTCTGAGACATATCTGCAGACAATTCTCTATTTAAGACAACGCCTGACAACCAGTACTCGTATGTAATAATTCACTGAATTATTAATTTATTTTCTATAAATACCTATCATTTATATATTGCTTGATAACGTGACTAATTGTGTAATAATAATCTTAAGCATCAAATTAATTATTTTCTAATTAATCATCAATTCACTATTATCAGTGTTATTATAAGTCATCTAATTAAGTAATGTGGTTTTGAAAATACAATATAATTCTAAATTAAATTTCATAAATTTTATTGATTTTAAATGAATTTTATCACAATATTTAAAAAATAATACTGTGCAATTATAATAAAAATAAAATAAATATATTACCATTTGAACCTATTATTTTTCTAAATGTCTGTAAAATAAA